TTAACTCTAAATGTAAATGGACTAAACTCTTCAATAAAAAGACACAGAGTTGCAGCCTGGATTAAGAAACAAAACCCAACCTTTTGCTGTCTCCAGGAAACACATTTAGCTACAAAAGATAAAAATAGGCTCAAAGTCAAAGGATGGAAAACAATCCTACAAGCAAATGGGCCAAAAAAGAAAGCAGGAACAGCTATACTTATATCAGATAAAACAGACTTCAAACTCAAAAAAATAAAAAGAGACCCCAATGGTCACTACATTATGATTAAGGGGACAATACTTCAAGAAGAAATAACACTCATTAACATATACTCACCAAACGAAAGAGCACCAAAATATATCAGACAACTGTTGTCCTCTCTGAAAACAGACATCAGAGAAAACACATATGTAGTGGGAGACTTCAACACACCACTATCAACAATGGATAGATCAACAAGACAAAAAATAAGTAAAGAAACTAAAGCTCTAAATAAGGACCTAGAGCATTTGGGCTTAACAGACATCTATAGAACACTAAACCCAAAAAAAACGGAATACACATTTTTCCCAAGCGCACACGGATCATTCTCCAGGATCGATCACATACTGGGGCACAAGACAAACATCAACAGATACACCAAGATTGAAATCATACCAACCATCTTTTCTGACCACGAAGGCATCAAACTATCCTACCTCATGGAGATTAAAAGCCACACTACTGGAAGACCACTGGACTAACGAGGAGATCAAAGAAGAAATTAAAAAATTCTTTGAATTGAATGACAAGGAGGACACCAATATCCTAAATGTATGGGATGCAGCAAAAGCAGTAATAAGAGGAAAATATATAGCAATAGAAGCTCACATCAAAAAACAAGAAAGAACTCAAAGAAACAACCTAATCTCGAAGCTCAAAGATCTAGAAAAAGAACAACAAAAAAACCCCAGAACCAGTAGAAGAAAAGAAATAATAAAAACCAAAGCAGAAATAAATGAAATTGAACTAAAAAAACAATCCAAAAGATCAATGAAACCAAGAGCTGGTTCTTTGAAAAAATAAATAAAATAGACAAACCCCTAGCCAGGCTCACAAAGGAAAAAAGGGAGAAAGCACAAATACACAGAATCATAAATGAAAGAGGAGAAATCACAACGGACACAGCAGAAATCAAAAGAATAATCAGTAACTACTATGAACAGTTATATGGAAACAAGTTCAACAATCTAGAGGAGATGGAAAAATTCCTACAACTCTACAATCACCCAAAGCTAGATAAAGAAGAAATAGAACACCTAAACAGACCAATTACAAGCAGCAAAATTGAAATGGTAATTAAAAACCTCCCCAAAAACAAAAGCCCAGGACCTGATGGATTTACAAATGAATTCTACCAAACATTCAGAGACGAATTAGTGCCTATCCTTCACAAACTCTTCCAAAAAATTGAGAAGGAAGGGACAATACCAAACACGTTCTATGAAGCCAATATTACACTAATACCAAAACCGAATAAGGACAACACAAAAAGGAAAACTATAGGCCAATCTCCCTAATGAACACTGATGCAAAAATCCTCAATAAAATTTTAGCTATCAGAATCCAACAATGTATCCATAAGATAATTCACCACGACCAAGTTGGATTCATTCCAGGGGCACAAGGATGGTTTAACATCCGAAAATCAATCAACGTTATCCAACACATCAACAAAAAGAAATATAAAAACCATATGATAATATCAATAGATGCTGAGAAAGCTTTCGACAAAGTGCAACACCCATTCATGATAAAAGCCCTTGAAATTCTTGGGATACAAGGAACATACCTCAACATCATAAAGGCCATCTATGAGAAGCCAACAGCCAGTATCATTCTCAATGGTGAAAAGCTGAAAGCAATTCCATTAAGATCTGGAACAAGACAAGGATGTCCACTCTCACCACTGCTTTTCAATATAATACTGGAAGTCCTAGCCAGAGCAATAAGACAAGAGAAAGACATCCAAGGAATCCAAATAGGAAAGAAGAAGAAGTCAAACTATCACTATTTGCAGATGATATGATAATATACATAGAGAACCCCAAAATCTCCACAGAAAAACTAATTCAACTCATCAATCAATTCAGTAAAGTGGCAGGATACAAAATCAACACGCAAAAGTCAGTAGCCTTCCTATACACAAACAATAAATCTGAAGAAGAAGAAATCAAAAAAACCATCCCTTTTATTATCGAAACAAAAAAAATCAAATATTTGGGAATAAATCTAACAAAAGAGGTAAAGGACCTATACAAAGAAAACTATAAAACACTGTTAAAAGAAATAGAAGAAGACACAAAGAAATGGAAAGACATCCCCTGCTCATGGATTGGAAGAATAAACATTATTAAAATGGCCATCCTACCAAAAGCAATATACAGATTCAATGCTATTCCAATCAAATCTCAATGGCATTCTTCAAAGAAATAGAACAATTATTGATGAAATTCATATGGAATCACCAAAAACCCCGAATAGCCAAAGCTCTACTGAAAAAAAAAGAAGGAAATGGAGGCATCACACTCCCAGACTTCAAACTATACTACAAAGCCATAATCATCAAAACTGCATGGTATTGGAACAAGAACAGACATACAGACCAATGGAATCGAATAGAAAATCCAGAAATAAACCCACAGATTTATGGTCAACTAATCTTTGACAATGGAGCAAAGACTATGCATTGGAGCAAAGAAAGTTTGTTCAATAAATGGTGCTGGGAAAACTGGGTCGCTACATGCAAAAGAATGAAGCTTGACCACTACCTCACACCATACACAAAAATCAACTCAAAATGGATTAAAGAACTAGACATAAGACCTGAAACCATAAAATACATAGAAGGAAATATAGGCGAAACACTACGGGATTTGCACAGCAAAGACATCTTTACAGACACATCACCCAAAGCAGTGATAGTGAAGAGAAAGATAAACAGCTGGGACTACATCAAATTAAAGAGCTTCTGCACAGCAAAGAGACAATAACAAAAACAAAGAGAAACCCCACCAACTGGGAGAACATTTTTGCACCCAACACTAATGATAAAGGACTGATCACAAAAATCTGCAAAGAGCTGATGAGACTCAGCAACAACAAAGAAAATAATCCAGTCAAAAAATGGGCAGAAGAGCTAAAAAGAAACTTCTCTGAAGAGGAAATGCAAATGGCCAACAGACATATGAAAAAATGTTCAACATCACTTGCAATCAGGGAAATGCAAATCAAAACTACCATGAGATACCATCTCACACCAGTGAGAATGGCACATATTAAAAAAACTAGCAACAACAAATGTTGGCGAGGATGTGGAGAAAAAGGAACTCTTGTGCACTGTTGGTGGGAGTGCAAACTGGTCCAACCACTATGGAGAGCTGTGTGGAGATTTCTGGACCTACTAAACATAGAGCTTCCATATGATCCAGCAATTCCACTCCTAGGTATTTACCCAAAGGACACAGAAACATCAATTCCAAAGAGCACCTGCACTCCTATGTTTATAGCAGCACTGTTTACAATAGCTAAGCTTTGGAAACAACCCAAATGCCCAAAAATAGATGACTGGATCAAGAAGATGTGGTACATATATACCATGGAATATTACTCAGCATTCAAAAAAGATAAACACATGCAATTTGCAGCAACATGGATGGCACTGGAAGGGATCATGCTCAGCGAAATAAGCCAAAAAGAAAAAGAAAAATACCGGATGGTCTCACTCATAGCAGGAATCTAGAAAACTTAAATAAGGGACCAGGAAAATGAATATAAGAAAGTGAAAATCAAAATCAACAAAAAACTATGAACCAGAGACACTTTTTGGGGGCTGGGGGCGGGAGGGGAAGGATTGGGGTCAGAATGGGGCGTTTGCAATTGTATGGGGGAATATAAAAATAAAATTTAATATTTAAAAAAAAAAAAAAAAAAAAAAGCTAAAAAATACCCCAGGAAACTAAAGAAAAAAAAAAAAAAAAGAGTAAGTATAAAAAGCTGAAAGCATAAAGAATACTTGTTTTAAAGGATCTTTGGTCAATTAAGTGAGTTAATATATACAGAGCATTTAGAGCAGGGCCTAGAGTATACCACATGCTCAATAAATACATGATTATTACTAAAATATATCCTGAGATCAACTGAAGTCACCCATTCTCTTTAATATCCACATAAGATAAGCTAAACTGTCATGCCCTGCCTGTGAAAAATATAGTGCATTATATTCCAGTTATCATTACATTCTCCTCAGTCATCTCTTATTCAGATGGGCACAAATGGCTTTTTGTCTCACAAATACTTTTCTTCTAAATACCTGTACCTTCCCCTTCTCTTAAATTTCCATACTTTGGCATGTGTAGCGGGTTTCCCAAAACGTTTGGGGAGATGGAAGAAATTAACATTATCGAAATGCAAACAACTAAGAAAAGTGAATCCCCTGCTTTCTAAAAATCATTGACTTCTCTGCTGTGGTAATCAGTTGCTCTCAACCTCTACTTTCTCTTTGCTCTCAGGACAATCACCAATAACCACAACAGCAAAAACAAACAATTAAAAAAATTCCTCCTGTATTTTAATGCAGAGAACTCAATCTCTCCAGCCCAAATACCCACAAACTCAAGCTCCAGGTCAGCACAGGAAAGGTGAAGTTGAAATGATTATTTGTACAGCCTGATGGATCTCTTTATTAGGAAGTATTCCTCCTTCCAGGCTGCATCTGAAGGGAGGGGTAGTTTTGGCCCTCAGGTCACACACACACACACACACACACACACACAGTGGCATTCCTGTAGATGTTCGAAGAGAAACCATGATAAAAGAAATGATTCCTAACTGCATCTAAATCTCAACACAAACTGATTATATAAACAAACATATAAATGCACACAAATATATTCTGTTATATATCACATACAAATATATAATATAATACATATATATTCTGTTGTTCAATCCTGTATGAAAATGTGGTGTTTTCTAGACTCCAGACTAATGTGCCTGAGGAAAAATTAGAAGCCATCCAGGGATTCACCTATTGGTAGCAGTAGCACTAAAATCACGGATGTGAGTATACTGAAGTAAGTTCAGTTCCAATCATATGATGTTAGAGCACAAACTGTGCTGGGACCCAGCAGTTCCTGACAAGGTGAGTTCTAACTCAGGGACCTGATAAAATCTCTGAGCTCCTCAGAGCTCTGCACTGCATCATCTATACTATATCAGTTCCCCACTTCCAATGCTTTATTATATTTTCCCAAATACAAGTAGAAGCTGGAATATGTTAGAAGGAACAGTTGATACAGTGGAAAGCACATGAGCTTAAGAGTCAAAACTGAGTTATGATCCAAAGTCTATGTATGAGCAAATAAAAACAAAGCCAGGGCCTCTCTGGTGGTGCAAGGGGTTGCCTCAGCACCGTGAGGTTGTCAGCAGCCACTGCAGCATGCATTTGATCCCTGGCCAGGGAGCTAACCCACATGGCACAGCAGACCTCTCCTGTCTCGCCCGTGGCTCCCCTCACCAGTGTATTTCAGTCAGTCTGCCTGTTCTGCTTCCCCACTCTGTCTCTGGTGAATCCTCTCACCCCTGACACCTCTAGCTTACTCCCCAGCTCTTGTATGCATAAGTAAATCAAATAAGTGTTGACAAAAAAATTATTTTCTTGCCACACCATTGTGAAGATTAGTTGAAATAAAATACAAAACAAGTTTTGGCAAAATATATTCATTTTATGTTATAGAATTAGAAATGATGGATTGTTTAAACATTTGATTATTGAGATAAGGATTTTAATACAATCAACTCCAAAGGAAATTTAAATTTCCAAGATGAAATCATTTCAAGAGGAACATCATCCATAAATATTTGTAGATTATATTTTAAAAATTGTGATTTAATCGCACTCTGCAATATAAATTAAAATTATATTGTTGCTTATATAATTTATTATGTAGCAAAAACATCACTAGTAGTTCTGATAATGATTGTTTAACACTTTAATAAATTCTTTTATTGGTGAGACACAGTTACAATTTGTCAAAGGTGAAATGATTATTCCCAGTTTTCAACTGGGAATGTTGCTAACAGAACTTTTCTGAAGTCTGCCAAAGTCTGCTTCACTCTACTATTGGAGTCTAAGCCACCAAATTCAATGCTAAAATTTGAGTTGAGATTATTGATTAAAGCCATAGCTCTTTTTGTTCTCCTAGGTATTTTATGATGGATAGATTCAAATAGATATTTATCTTTCCCATGGAGAATATGGAATTGAAATAGTAGGTCATTTTAAGTAATTCCCTTCATGCTACCATGCAATGGAACATAAGTCTAATCTTCAATGAGCTTAAACAAAATAACATACTGAATTACCTTAGGCCTGCTCCCTACCATTGGGTCCCCAATGAGAGGTCTGACCTCATGTGAATACATGTGAATATATGAGGTCATGTATATCTTTCTAACAACCTCTGTTTTCCTTTTCATTGACCATCTGGTTCTCTCTACCCAAGACTATATGGAAAATGAGGATCACCAAACACAAGTGACTAATCATGTCTAAAGCCTATCTCCCAAACTGAAAATCCCCATCATCATGGTAATAAGAGTCATTAAGAATGTAGAGTTCCAGAAATTAATTTCATTTTTGATCGGGTTGAATATTCTGACATATGGCTCCATTGATGACTCCAATTTCTCTTTCTCAGATGTTGGCATAGTTATTCTAATCTCTCTCACGTCCCTCACAGGCACATTTTCCTGTCCCTAGAATTTGTTTCTTAGCCCCCATTTTTTCTTTAATGCAGATATTGTGAGTGAGCCATACATTTCTTTATCTTCAACTACCACTGTATAGATCAGGTTTTTTTTTTAGGAGACAAAAGCTATATCAACCATTTAATAGAAAAGAAAAAAAAAACCTGTTAGCTGTCTATTAGGACATGATAAAAGCCAAGGAAGGACAGTTTCTCCTGTTAAATCTAGTCTGGGATGAAAGAGAAGAGGCAGGAATAGTTAAAGCTCACATGCTTGAAAGAGTCTGTGGAGCAGGGACTTTGCTCTGTGAGGAGGAAGTACTTTTCAGCTATTACTGAGTGTTCAAGAGATTGAAGGACAAATTCCACTGAACCGTGACTCAGTATTCTGAGGATGAAGCACAGTTTGGCTTTGGAGTTTTCTAAAGGAATATGCTGAGACTGACTTAATCTCATGGAAAAATTGCAAACTGTAATCTACTGTTTCTTGTGGAATCAATTGTTACCCACCTGTGTGAAGAGCTATCACCTGACTGGAACCGCAAGCAAACAGAAAGGGACAAATCTATATTTACTTATCCAATCTTCTAGGCTTTTTCTAGTGCTTCTTACTGACAAAGTAAAATAGGTACCAACTGGCAAAGTTTATAGAAATCTAACCTCAGTATTAAAAGCATAGTATACACTGTGGGTTTGAATCTGAAAGATAATATGTTAATAAGCCATTACGGAGCGGACATTGGTTGTCCAACAATTATACACAGTTCTATATGAACTTGACTTTGAAATAATAATAGAAACCATATTTCTGTTTTTGACTCAAAAAAATCATTTCTATGTTCAAAGGCATTCTGAAACTTTTTCAGAAGGAGGAGTAGAAGCCAATTTCCCAATAGTGATTGAATTCATCTCTGAAAGATAACAGTGGTATCCACTTCAACTGAAGTTATCCATGACTTAGTTCCCATGGGCCAGCTATCAGCCTGTGTTTACTGAAACCCCTGAAGATTTTTAATCTGGAAGAGTCTGTGTCATTGACATGCTGCCCTGGGATAGCAAAGTACCATGGCTACTGAAAAATTGGTTGGGGACCCAGAACATGATAAAATGGTTACTCAGTGGAGTATTAAATGCAACATTTTAAAATATGCTACCAAAAATATACATACAAACAAGACCTGGAAGATGTTTCTGAAAGTTAATTAATAACAACAATATATGTTGAGAGATGAGAGAAGAGGAAAAGGGAGAAGAGGATAGGAGAAAGGAAAGTAGAAAAGAATGAAAACAAAGAATACCTCTGCAATAGTAGTAGTTATCTCTAAAAGGCACTATGAGTAAATATTTTCTACTCAGACTTTGATGAATTTTACAAATTTTCCATAAAGAGTATATGCTACTTTTATAATTAGAAGAAATTGCATATAAGAGAAGAAATTAAAGATACTTACTTGGGTGAGGTGGTTTCCTTTGGACAAGATGACTTTAGGCTCTTAAAAAACACTTGGGTTCCTCTAGAAGGGAACAAGTTCAGTTTATATAGCCTAATTTCAGTAAAGCCTTGTAACAGCAACATACTCATATAATCACTTACTATACAGTATTATTTTTATTATTCTTTCCTTATAAAATTTCTAGTGTCAAGAATTGTGAAAGATTGATAAATATTTGTTAGTATCAGCAGCCAGAAATGATCATTTCTGTAGATATTCTCTAATCTCAGATAACAAAAATATTAACGTTGCCAATATGCTAACCATAAAATTTTGCTAATCACAACTATTAATGCTGACATTTTAATGATGAATGAATCATTGTAGCAGAGAATTATGATGTCTTAGGCCATCCATGATTTTGTGCTTTTTTAACCTATATCTCCTTTCCATATGTCCTACCTATGTTCTATTAACATATCTAATTCTTACCTGTTTATTGAGTGAGAAAAGCAATTTCCTGCAGCAGTCAATTTCAGTGGGATCATCCCCTAGAAGTGGTATAAGTAGACATGAAATCTTAGTTAAGTAAAGAATATTTCATTAGCTTTGGTATAGCAATTTACTATAAAAATTGACATGTTGGCTGACTTAACATTCTGGTGGTTTGTTTATTTTAAAATAATTTATGAGAGGAAAAGATAATGCAAGCTCTCCTTGAATTCTGTTTAATGTTTGGAAGAAAGGTTGTGTTAGGCTTCTCCTTGCTAGATAAAGAAAGTGAGAGTAACTGGAGAGCCCCAGATATTCATATCACCTCCATAAGTAGCATATTTACACCAGTGTTCATGTAGAAAAAAATAATATTGTTTTATATCCAGAATTAATATTTTGCTATAGCAATATTTTATTCTCAGTGACTTAATTTTAACAGCTAAAGAGAAGGATAGTCTACGTTTTATCTTACTCTGAGATACCATCTGGATTCAAGCCTCTTGACCTCTCTGAATTATTCTGAATGTTGCCATATTCTGCCATGGACTTCATACTTCTGAGAGGAGTCGAAGTTAATGTAGAGGTAGTACATGGTATTTGAATTAAACTAGTACATTTCATAGAAGCAATTTTTGCTACTTAGAAGGGGAAAGAATGTAAATTCCATGATTTTGTCATTGTGGGGAGTCATGAAATGCCATCGTGATAATGTTAGTATACCACTTTGCTGTTGAGGAAACACAAGATTTAATATGTGTCTTTTAAAATGTATGAGTCGTTATACATATATATATATATATATATAAAGGGAAAGAGAATAAAAACAAATATGTCTACAAGTGTATATATTTATTTTTCTCCTTCCAGTTATTTCATTCTTAGAAGATTGAATAATTTAATTGAGATTGTTGCTTTAATTTGAAAAGAACTTTGGATTTTGGCATGAAAATATTTACAAATCAGGTATTTGTTTGAATTATTTCTTTATCTTTAAATTGTTTTTAAGTAATACTAAATCACAAAATGCTCAAACCTTTAATACCTTCAATGAACGCAAAAGATTATAGTATAAAGAATGGTTAAGGAAGATTTGCTCTGAGAAGAAGAGAAACCAATATGTTCATCTGTCCAAGTTAAGCAGTTTTATCTTCTGGTCCATTAGATTTGTCTTTCCTTAAATGAGAAGGTCCAATATTACCTACAGCAATAAATCTTAAAATGTAAATTTTCATAAATAAAAAGAGTATATAATTTAGAAATGTTTAAAAGGGTTAACTATCTTATTCCATTTTATATTTTAAGATAAAACACTCCTTTAAGTGAGAATTGCTTTTTTAAAAACCACTGACACCAAACATCTGCTTCTTCAGCTGATCTGCAACAGAGTAAAATAGAAAGAAAAAAAAAAGAACACCAACTTTGCAAAGTAGTCCCATTAAAAAAACTCTTAATTCTCTTAAAACTATTCCTGTTTATGGTGAGAAAAAAATAAAAATATCCTAAATATTAAGAAGTGAAATAAAGGCGAGACTGAGATGAAATTCCAACGAAGAGTATCTGATCAATTCTAATGAACGGGGCAGAATAAAATTGCAAATCAAAAACTAAAGCAAGCTGAAAAAATCTACTGTACCAAGTAGAAAACTGAACCCAACTCTTTTTTATGCACTTTAAATTATGCAAATGAAAACTATATTTGTTAGTATTCACATTAGAATACTGTATATGTTTTTAATCAAAATGTTTAAGTCTGACTAATTCTTCATTCTACTTACAATTTCATTTAACTTGAGGAAGAAAGTAATCGATTAATCAATACAATCTGTGTTGGTTTACCTAAATAGAGCAGTTGGCAGAAAGTAGGGACTTTTGAACCAACTGTTTTGTTATCTAAGAGATGCTGTGGTCCATGGAGTAATTTCTAAGGGGCATATATATTGATGTAACCCATTTCAGCTCTTGCTAAGAGTTACACAAATAAACTGGACAAAAATCCCCATTTCAGGAAAGTAGTTCTTGATTTAAAGTGCCAATAAATGTGACATTTAATCGTGTGTCAATATAGTTATCTTTTAAAAGCTTCTATGAACAAGCCTAAAGCCAGATAATCGGAATCATTATCACTAGAGAAATAAGGGATATTGGTAAATGCTATGTCACAGAGGGTAAGGGTAGACTCTATCAGCTGTAATAGCACCACATTGCTCTTGTTTTCAACACCATTGTGCCAAAGATCATTATGCAGCAGATATTTTACAAAGATGTTCCATCCTTTATGAAACTTTCTAAAAAATTAACATTTTCAATTTCCAATAATGATATATTTTCTAATTGCCTCACAATAAAGGAAATAGTTTTGAGTTTAAGAATACAACTCATTGTGAAAAGGACTTTTATTTCCTTTGCTTCATTATCTCTGTTTTACAGAAGCAAAAATAAATATGAAGTAGGGATATATTAAGGATCAATGGCTTGGGTTACAGAGCTCTCAAAGTCTCAAAGAACTGTGCTATGGAAATTTTATATCCTATTGCCACCTTTTAAGTAAATGGGATCTCAGACCCTTCAGAGAGTTGGATAATCCCTTTAAATCCTTAAAGGTTTGAATAATAGATATAAGAATACTGGTGTTTAGTAAATATAATTTGATAACTGTGTAAGGATAAAGTGCTGTGTAACTATACTTTCAAAAAGAACAGTGAAGGAAACAAAAACTTAGAATAGTCATGTGATAACATGAAAAGCCAGACTGCATTCTGTAAAGACTGAGCAAGTGTTGGGGATATAAAAAAATGTCCAGTGAAATGGGAAATAGAGATAGGGACTGTGACAAAGAGTTAAAGACAAAGCAAGGAATTAAAAGGCAACAATAGTGATCTACAAGTTTAGGATCACAGACATTAGCAATATTATAGATGCTTAGAAGATATATTTGCCAAGATGATCGTAATCCTGATCTTTCCCATAACATCTCTGGGTTGCTTTACCATCAAGATGTGGTGGTTAGAAATTGGTGTCTGGTGCCAGACTCTCCAGTTTCAAATCCCAGTTTGGCCACATATTGGTTGTGTGACATACACTTGTTACCAATATTCCCTCTGCTTTTTTGATATTCATCTTGAAATGGAGATAATAGTCCTGTCTGCTTTTGATGTTTTTCATGTATATTAAATGCATTATTGTGTATAAATATATGTTGAGCGCTTAAAACAGTGACATGCATGGTGTGAGTGAATTTTTGGACATTCTGAGACAGAGATAGTAATATATATGAATGATGTTATATCGTTAATCCATGAGCCAAACAATCTACAAGTACTAGCTGAGTGCCAAAACATAAATAAGCTTTACAGAGAATTCAACATGGGGAAAAGACAACCTATGAATCTGAAGAAATAAAAATTTCACTAGCTACATAGCAAATAGAGATTGAAAGAAAATGCTAGTATTTAAGTAATATGAAAATTAAAGAGGCATTACCTAGAAACCATACATTAGTTATTTAAAGATCATGCTGCTTTTGAATAGTGAGCTGGTTTCCGTTGACTCTGACATGACAGGTGTTTAGCTATAATCATGATATTCAGATACAAACCTATGCTGACCTCCCAAGTCTCCCCAATCACCACTTTTTCCCCTCTAAAAAAAAATACCAGCTTTGAGTTTGTAATGTCCTATTTAAGGTTCAGTTGCTGTTTCCATTATAAACTTTGCTATTCCAGATTAAAACTTGTCACCTTTAATTTGCATCAAGATAAAATTTTGGCATATATTTGTCAGTCTTAATGCAAATTATTATTTTAGAAAAGTCTGCAGTGGGCCTCCCCGGTGGCGCAGCGGTTGAGCGCTGGGTTGCGAAGCTCCCCGCCGCCTCTGCGGCGCCGGTTCAATCCCTGGCTGCTCCCCGGCCACTGGAGGAGGGTCCCACACGGTGCGCAGACCTCTCCTGCCACCCGCTGCTCCCCTCAGCAGTGTACTTCGGTCCTTCTGCCTGCTCTGCTCCCTGCTCTGGCTCTGGTGAATTCTCTCACCCTCCCGTGCTTCTGACTGTACCCAGTGCATGTATAAAACAAAACAAATAAATAAAATACGTGCCTCTTTAAAAAAAAAAAAAAAAAAAAAAAAAAAAAGATATTTTAAAAAAAAAAAAAAAAAGAAAAGTCTGCAGTGAGTAAAATGAGGAGTCTGTTATCTTAGATATCTGTTGAAGAATTACAAATAAAATAACCACTCCTCTTTCTTGACCTTCAGTTTGACAATGTGGTAGATGCATTCCATCGTCTAATAAGACAACTTATCTTTAATAAGAATATAAACCATTTTAATATGGATTTCCAAATGTCTAAATTTGAAATATTGTAAGATCCTTGGGAATAGGAAAATCACTTTTCTTTGGAAATATGCATTTAAATAAGTATAATAATAATTCACAATACTTTAAGTACATACTTTTTATTGGAGACTGCTCTCAGACTATTTATTCATATTTTTTAACCCTTGCAATTATCTTGTGACCAAGTTATTATTATCTCATTCCTGAGATAAGGAAATTGAAAAACAAGATAGTTAAGTAATTTCCTCAAGTCATGTTGCTAAGAGGAGGAACCAGAATAGAAATCTTGTCTACTTATCTTTGAAGTCTATTTTAATTACTGGGAAACACTGATCATTTAGACACGTACGATAGATATATACTGGGTGGCAGTATGATATAAAGATTTGATACACGGAGACTGAGCTCAGTCTGCCTGAGATAAAATCTCATTTCCACCACTTCTAGCTGATGATATTGGGAGTGTACTTACACTGTGTCTAGCACATAATAGGTGCTAAATAAATAATAGCTATTATTGTTTTCAAAATATATAGAATTTGTGGAAGCTTGCCACAAGGAAGGAGAGTGATAGGAGACACCTTAGAGAGACAGGGAGACAGGGACACACATCTTGTAAGACCTTGAAGGCCATTGGAAGGACTTTGACCTTTACTCTGAGTATAATCTAAAGTCACCAGAGAATTCTAACAAGAGAAGTATCGTGATCTAAATTAAGTTTTTGTGATTACTCTGACTGCTGGGGGGAAATAAATTCTGGGAGAGCAAAAGAGCAGAAAGAACTGGTAAGTATCTCTTGCAGTAATCTGAGGGAGAAATGCCAGTTGTTTAGAACAGGATTACAACAATGGAGGGAGTTAAGAAAAAATTGGATTTTTTTATAAATTAGACATGAAGAATGACAGAAAAGAAAAATTTTTTGGTTTTTTTGGTAATAGTTTAGCCTGAGCAACTCTAAAAACAAGATTAATGACTTCAATAATTAATATCTAATAATATTAATAATTTATTAACTTTGATAATTTGATTGTTATGGCTAAAATTAATTATGCTCTTAGGCCTTCTGTACCCTAGTGAATATGCTAAGGATTAAATAAAGACCACCAATTGTATTGCTTAGACAAAAGATGCCAGGCAAACCATTTAATAAGTTGTCTGATGTTCTGATGTCACACTCTAGCTATTCTGTTGATATAAAAACTGATGACTAATGAGTTACTCATAGAGTGAGAGGCCTCCAGGTCACATAGAAGGCTCATCATGAAGCGTGCTTGGATCTATTATTATACATGAGTAACCAATATGTTAAACTATCACAACTCAGAGGTAGAAACATGAAAAATTATTGAATTTCCCTTCAAACTAGTCATGTATTCTAGAAAAATCCCATTGTTTTCTTGTCTTTTCACTTTTGCAAAGTTCAGTGTAGAACAGTCTAAAATGTCCATCACATACCTGCATCAAAGTTTTCCCTGTTGATATTACCAGCTGGCTTCAGATGAGTGTTTAGATGTGTGTGTCATTAGTTTGCAGTAGTTCATCCCAAGTCTTAGAGAAGCTCCCTCATGGCCTGGATTCACCAAGACAGCACAAGTCTGTCTCCTTCAAATGCCCTTAACCCAAAGAGAAAATCCTGCATTCTTATGATATGTCAGTCATTTTTTTCCTCTATATTGCCACTTATCTCCAATCTTTTTTTTTTTTTTTTGGCTCAGGCAGGCTCACAGTCTACAAGTCCATTGATGAAACAATTGTCATCTAGGTAAGGAATGAGATGCCAACTTGCAGGTACCTTCAATCTCTGGAGAGAAAATTCCCGTGGACTCTCCTTCCCTGACTTGGTGTTGTGAAGACCACAGCATTCCTGATAACCAGATCATTTGCTGCCTCTTACTCTTCCTTGCTTTAGTTATTTTTTACTAGCCTAATATGGAGTTGTGGTGGTGAATGTTGGACAAAGGTATCAAAATTAATCCACAGACCACTGAGCAATAAACCTCAAGGGAGTAGCTTGGCGCCTATTGCTGTCAGCTCTCTTCAGAGTAAGGTATCTATAACATCTCTGTCCTCAATTTTTGGCCCAAGTTAGCAATATAAGTCAACAAGAAAAACCCCACACATACCCAGCCATATATGATTAAGATTCTGAAAGCTTCCCAAATGGTGTTCTTGAAGCAGTTATTCCAAAAGTGAGTGAATAACTCACAATCACCTCCAGAAGGTGGAAAGTAATGCTGAAATCTACTGTCAATACTTGTTCTTTAATTATACACCCCCACACCCACCCAACCACCATAACTACCCTCAGACAATTAGTGTCTGAGGGACATGTCAGAATGGACATGCTTATTCCTCCAAAAATGGGTGTATTGTGTCTTTGGGAAGAAAATAAAAAATTGAAAATGGAAGAAGTTTGCATACTGCTGAGCTCTTGACACTGCCTGTTGAGTAAAATGTGGTCACTAATCAGAATTTAAAAGAGGTCCCTCTGATTGGCAAGCAGCCAGGATCAGAGATATGAGGGGTACAATTAGATGTGTATTTAAGATATGCTTCTAGTGAATTTTTTCCCTTTCTACATTGGGAAGCATATTTGGCTTTAAAAGTGGTTCCCTGTTGGGATTCTTTCTAATTGTTCTTTTATCCTGATTGGCCACTCTCATTATTTGTCCTTCTCCAGCTGTCCTTGTTTTGTCTGGTATCATCAGATTCTTATGCAAATGAAGTATCCTTGTAAGTTGATTAGAGAAGTTGTTTAGAAAATAGAGTTCCAAAATGCTGAGATAGGAATCACTGGTCTTTCCCTCCACTTCACATGGGCTAATTGTATGCTTATCCAGAGTAAGAAAGGCAGAAATGATGGACTCCAAGTAACCATTATTTAACATGACACACTTGAACTGACAAACAATCACACGTGCCAAATACATCTTTCCTACGATCGGCATCTCCAGAAAAGTCTGATCGTGTATGTAAAATAATTAGATTTTGTTCAGTAATCAAACTCAATCAAATGAATTCTGTGTGAACTACTTTTATTCCCACGATGAGAAATGTGTGTCATATCCTCTGTAAATTTGCATATTTTTCCATAAACCTAAAACCAATCAATTTTGAAGAGTTATGATAATATAAAGAATCTGAGGCAATTACATGTCTTTTAAACAGGGATTCTAAATGCATTTCACTGCTGGTATTCATGTAGTAAAGTAGTCAAAACTTCTTTAACCCTTTTCATGACATCTCAATTAAGCTGTAATGATTGAGGCTCAGGACATTTCTTAGGATTAATGACTGGCTGGGAAAGTGGATGGCCTGAGGTGAAGCCAAGGGCCATTAATTCCCTCTGGTCATTAATCCCCCAGGAAATGCCTCGGGCCTGGTTTGATATTAGCATTACAGGCTGCAAATATACTGTTGGATTTCCTGATTGGTTTTAAAATAATTTATTAAGATGTCATATTTTAATTTCTGCCCTGTATACTCAACATTTCCAAATTTCGATTCCTAGTTTTCCATCCTACAATGTTGATTACAGTGACATAATAGAAAATGGTTTCATTGGTCATATCACATATTTTCTATGAAATAGTCAAAACATGTTAAAGTTAGTTTCAGTGCTGAAGTTCCAAATGGCCATTCGTCCTTGTGATATTATTTGCTCGGCCACGACAGTGAGTAGTATTTTATTCCCATAAGTTTGTAGGAGGTTTTAGTTGGTATCATCTAAATTCATAAAAGATTTTGAACCCTACTCCTAATTTTGCCTGATATCTGATGCATATAAATCTATTCTTAATCTCTAAATAAATCTGTACTTTAGGTTTTAGTTAGAAAATAATCAAAACTTGCCCACAGAAATAATATTTACTGGAATCATCTGAAATGTGTATTTTTATCTACTCTTCTACAAACTTAACTTTAAACAGTGGGCCACTAAAGTTTGGGATAGAATTGCTATTGTTGAACTGTGCTTTGGTGTGTATCTGTATTAAATCTGAGAAAGTTTATTTTTAAGGAAATCTAGCAGAACCTGTTGTTTTTACTGTAAGCCTTTTGACAGATATTGCTTATTACATCAGTGCCCTTATGAGGGCAAGGAGACTTCATATCAGAAATAGCTGAGATTAACCTAGCTAAACCAGTGCCTTTTTACTTTTTGAGCACTGTGGAACTTACAACTGATCTTACTTCTGAACTTATTTCTTTTGTTTGACTGCTAGAAAGCATGAAGTCAAAAGTATAAGCCAGTGCTGGAAAATTTATAGAGCAGGTATTTTGAGCATAACTTTTACCTTGATTTTGTTTTCTTCTGTCCTACCTTAATTTTATCGTCCTCCCTTATTCACCTGCAAGTTCAGAATATGTGTCTTTGTCATCTGCTAATTCTATTTAGAATGAGGTGGGATATAATTAGTTAACCATTAACTGCTTTGAGCAACAAGATTTTCCCTCCTCCCCAGTGAAATGCTCATTTGTATTCATTCCTCACACCTAGTTTAGTCCTGTCTTCTTTTAATATGCGCCCCCTAGCAAACCTGCTTCAAGGCTTGTCAAGACAAACCCTAGTGGGGGGACCAGACCCACAATATCTAGAACTAGAACTTCCAGGGTTCATTCCCAATTTCGTCACTAACTCATTTGTAAGTATTCTTGTTTCCCACTGAATGCAGTTAACTTCAGAAAGGCAATTTTTGTAACAAATTGTTGCTTCTACTTTTTTAAAATAAATCTTTATTGACTGAAGATTTCCATCTTCGAATATCTACTTTAGATTATTAATTTCCAAGGACCATAGTCTGCCTCATAATATATAAAACATCACTTACAAATAGATGCTTATTAAGTTCTACTTTATTAAAATGTCAATGAAAAGCGACTTTTAATGGGGAAAAAAGAGAAAATGTAGTAAAAATAAATTAAGAGACTACTAGACCCTCCCAACACAGTGACTCTGTCAGGGCTAATACACAGACTCAGGCAGAGCAAAGGGTAAGAAGGAATATCTGTCCATCATTATCTGTCTGTCTCCTTACCACTATCTATATATTTGATGATTGCCATGAAATCCTTGAGTCAATTGAAGGTCCACGCAAGAACTACTACTTGGGCTTATTGATCTGAGTTGTGAAATGACAACACAAGGTCCCATTCTATCCTCAGATCAATGCTGCATGTGTGTGTTCCTGAAGCACATGGTATATGCTGTGTCTGTCTGGCAGAAACATTTGTGCTTAAAATACAGCCTGACAGTTCCCTGCCATCTTGCAAAACAGTGTGGCTTATTTAGAACAAATCTGTTATGACTGACCACAGAAAGATGCATGTGTGTTTCTGAGCCTCTCCCTATGAATAGGCAAAAGGACCATCTGGGCACGTGGCATTTACACATCTTTGAGCAAAGTTAGCATTCTGCCTCACAGTAAAATCCATCTCTCAGGGACTCTGTGGGTTTGTGATGCTTCCTGTAGAATGAAGGAGGAAAACAAATGCACTTCAGTAAAACAGAAGTATCTTTTTTTTCATCTGTCATAGCCACAGTTTGATAGTATCTGTATTTCATTTTCACTTCGGAATATCACGAGAGAGAAATGGCAGGAAGCAAGTTGCTTCCACACGGTTGTGAAAGAGAGTTGTTATATTTGGTTGTTCTCTGTGGCACATCTCTGTGAAATTTAAAAAAAAATCTAGCTACCACCCTGGTGGTTAGGGGGAAAAAATAATGTCCTTATCCTTTCCTAAGAAGAATTATTGCTAAAATAATAGAGTGCTCATAATGACATTCCCTTTTGCCTATTTTTATTAAAAATCAATTTGACTTATCATTCAGAAAAACACTTAGACAAATAACCTTAAAATATGTATTTTATTGGGCAGCGCAGATACTGGAAAACATGAATTAAGATAGATAATTATTTTATAATTTAAAGTTATTAAACTCTAAAAATCTTTAAATATTAAGGAACTCAAGGTTCTTGGCTTGGTCATAGAATAGCATGACTTTTAAAAAAATTCACCAGGATTTATATAACCAAATCAATTATAGATAATTTTTAGAAATAGTATTTTTTTCACCCAGAGCATTTTTTATTTCCTTTTTATAAAGTGAATTTGGTAATATATAGCTTATTGTTTTCACTATTCTAGATGAAAATATGTCTGTTATTTTAGAATAATGAATTAATTTAGAAAAAGTGAAACTTAATGTAGTGTTACTAACAAGGTGATCAGTTTGGAATTAACCTTTCGGTAAAGGAGGTATGTGACTATAAACTACAAGACTGATTTCAAATGTCCTTTCTCTTTAAAATTGGAAAAGACATTTCCCCTCTGATATTATCTCTTGAAACTTGTAAATCAGAGGGCAACTCAAAGAAGAATATCAACATATTTTATTGTAATGGCAACATTTACAAATTCATAAAATGTTTCATGCAGGCACCATTTTGAAAGACAATCACATGTGACTGTTGAGAAAAATGTCAACTGCTTTCTAGTCACATGCTCACTTAAACTTCCATTGTTTTCCTTCTAACATGTAAACTACTGGACTAAATTGTGGCAAAATCTTACATGTTTTAATTCAAACTAATTTTCCCTTACTGTCATTCTTCTTTGTGTCCAGAGTTCCTGCATTGATCTAGGTTAGAGGTCAGCAATTAGTGGGGTGGGAGGGTAGACAGATATTAAATATAGGCTTTGTGGGTCACAAGGCAAAATTGAGGGTATAGACCAAATACTTAACAGAAGAAAAAACTTCTG